GCTTTTTAAACCCTTCCCACACTTTTGCAATATTCTAAACAATGTATATAAACTGTAAATGTTCTAAAACAGCACAGAATATCATTATTTCAGCTCCCTGCCTCAGCTGCTCTCTGCCACCTGCAAGCGTTTTCTGCCATGCCCACTGCTCCGCAACAGAGCAGAGATCAGCTGATCAGCTGCAGGAGGAAGCTTATCATGCAGCTGTGGGCTGCACAAAGGTGCAGAGGGTGCTAAATAATCTTAAATAATTTATTTAAAATAAAAATTCCATTCCGATCATGCCAATCATCCATCAATCAGCCAATTGTGTGTCATGTCCAATCTTACTTTGATAAAACCGTGATGGAGAGAGTCTATGAAAAACAGACCGCAAAGTAATGAGGGGCTACTATACCCTAAAAAGGCTAACTGCAGCACTATCTATGCCAACAAGGTGAAAGCATTTTTACAATGCATGCCCCACCTACCAAGATGGCAGTCAGAATATTGCCTGGCACAGTAGCGCAGTTGGTAGAGCTGTTACTTCTCAGTAATATGGTTGCCAAATCAAATCCTGACCAGGGAACTATTTCAGGTGGGGTTTGCCTGTTCTCTTGATGCGTCTGTGAGTTTCCTCTAGGTACTCTGGTTTTCTGCCACAGACCAAACACATGAATAGGTAACTCTATATTTTCCCTAGGTGTGTATTGTTGTCTGTCTCATTTGTTACTTTACTATGTAGTCCTATGATGGACTTGCGACCTGTCTAGAGTTTATCCTGCACAGGGACTGCAGGACATGGGCACCTGCGACCCAGAAAGAAAGAACTGGGTAAAGATAATAGATGAATGGATTGTGATTTAGTCATCATTCCAGTAGAAGAGAGCTAGACCATTTGCAAGTTATAATCAAATGAGGAATTAAATAATTAAAAAAAAAAGTATTTAGATAATGTAGATGAACATATGCATGAGATATATTCATAAATTAAACTGATTCTTTCATTTTTCTGGACCGTATATAATGTACATTGAATTCAGAAATGTAACGTGAGACGTTAATTATCTTTGACTCACCAACGACAGTGGGTCATTTATTAACAGAATCAAAGTTTAACACATCACACATTTACATTAATTGGCAAAATATGGAAAATAACAACATGGCTAATTTTAGCAAGCTGTACAATTTTGATTGACCACACGGCGGTGGTTGAGAACTTTACACAGACATTTCTAAAATATCTGGAATGATTTCTACCTGATAGAAGAATTTTAAAGATGGAAAGATGAAGTTTAGAGGGAGAAAAAGATGGGTGAGGGGGTTTGTTTGTGTCAGCATTCAGAACGGCACTCTCCGGGTTTTTCTCAGCTTCTTCCCCCAGTACACTTAGGTGGTATAAATCAACTCTTTTACCTGGAGATGTCTCCACTGGTATGAAAGTCCATTCAACGCACCCTTTCAGCGTCTCCGTAGGAACAGCTGTGAATCGTCCGAAGTAGTGACGGTATTCCGTCCGACACAGGTTCACCTCACGAGTGGACTTCACATGAGTGGAGTCCATCAGAGTTCCACCCAGAGGTGGAAGATGTTATAATCCCATAAGACTCGGAAGAGCTCTGTGGTCATGTCAGGATTTTCCTGTTTCCCAGCACGAGTTGCAACGACTGAAGCCGGAGCCTGAAGCGACTGGACTTCTGCAAACTCTCCACCCGACTCTCCTCGACACCAAACTCGACTGGTTTGAACTAGGAAGTACCGACATTTTAAAGGGCTCTATTTCCGGTTCATTTGGGAGTTTCTGATTGGTCAATATCGACCAGACAGGGGTGTGTTTTGTGACGTAAGAGGTCACTAGGAGTCAGAAAAACAGCAATAATGTTATGGAACAGATTAAAAATGTTTTTAGAGACAGAGAGAGAAATGTTTGGACGAGTTGGCGGAAAACAGGTGCCAGCTTCTCTATTTACGTCTGAGAGGATTTAAAAACAAGACAGTTCGTTCCAACACTTGTCTGCGTTTGACTCCAACCTTGGACCAACTTACCCTGCTCATTCAAAGACAGAAAATCAGAAAATGCATAATTACTCTGTAACAGACCTTAACATGAATTCTAACTTTGCATGAGGATTAAAAATCATTGTTACTGTTTCACAGTTAATTAAAAATGATTAGTTCACTGCAACATCTAAAATGGTTTGAACTAAAACACTTTGATTATCAAACATTTGTAAAATAGTAATGATAATAGAAAAGAGAGTGTTCTTTCACTTGAACTCTTAAAGAAAGAAAGTCTCAGGATGGGTCAACCTGTATTTCTGGATTCAAATCAATGAAATGACAGTTTCTGTCCCATATGGTCCTAAGGTCAAGGTTTTGACATCAGGCCTAGTTCACTACAATAATGTAAACAAGAAGTTAAAGACGGCAGTCAAATGAGAGGTACAACATATAAGCAGCAAAAGCACATAAAAATAGCCATATAGATTCTGGTCACCAAAGTAAACAACCATAAACCACATTAGTCACTGGAGTGAGTATTTTACACCTCTGAGTTTTAAGGTAGCATGAAACAAATCACCTGGACTTACATGAACACACAAACTTAGTTATAGTGGAAAATCCTTTTGCTGTTTTCTGCAAATCAGGAAATATTGGTAAATGCTGACCATGACTATTTAAAATGGAAGACCAGAGGTCCTGAAACTGTCTCCAACATTTCATCAGGCATGGATAATCTCTTTAAAGGAATGGTGCTCAGAGGAGTTGTATGACCTAAAGGCACAACTTATTTATAACAATGGACTTGCTAATGTGCAACATTGCTCCACTGAAGACCCTGCCATCATGAAACATGTATCCCTATAATTCGCACTGACTGAGGTCTTTTTGTATGCACCAATCATTTTATGATAGCTTTCAGAAAAATAAATAAATAAATAAATAAATAATAGAAGCTCTAATAAAGTAATTAATACCATATTTCCTATATGTTCAATAAAACATGCATAGAGTATAATGTATAAAAACAAATGAGAGTTTTATACTAAAAATTAGATAATATCACTTTTATAAATTACTATGCAGAAACTAAAGTATAAAGTAATCAAAAACATAAAAACATACCTAATGACAGATTTTGAATTCCCTCTAGAGAAAGATCAAGCGACAGGGTGGAAAAGAAATCCTCAGAGATGTGTAAAGTCTGGATAAACAGCCTTGCAGTAGATGTGTACACTAGTACATCAAAGAGAGTGTTTTTTTCTCCCCAATACTCAAAAGGCAAAAAATCAGGTAGTAGTCCCCTACAGCAGTGAAAGTTGCTTTTATACAGTCAGTTCGGACCAATGAAAACTTGTTCTTTACAATACAATTTTATTTCTAAAACATTTTGTAGTATACTAAAGTAGAAACTACCCTGAATGGAACAGCTGTATTCTATAAAGCCCGGTATAAATTTTGAACTTACACATTTAATCATCTACACTGAACAAATGTCCATGTTTTGACATACAGCACGTGTAAAAATAACTATTATTAAAATTAAATTTAAACCTGTAGCCAGTGCATGAATATAATTGCCTTGGTAAAAAATATACTCGCGTTTCTTTTTAGAATGAAAAAAGTGTGACACTGTACATCATGGATGCTGGTAAGTTAATGCATAAAGTTAAGACTAGCTTCTTCAGAAAGTTTCTTGGATTTCTTCTCAGCTCTTTTCTCCCTTTTAGGCAATGAGACATCACTCAAGAGGAGGTGGCACAAAGTTGAGAATTGAGAAGAGGACGCGGTGTCTGGTTGAAGGGTTCTTTACTCTACTTGCTTGTGATATGTCTATGTGCATGTGTTTTGTGTGATTTCTCTCAGCTACCATAGACAGCAGAGCGTACGTGAGGAGCACAGGTGCATTCAGATGCTGTACGTTTATGATCCCAGTGGGATTTACTGCAAAGTCTTTTCCCCCCATCTTCCAGTGATTGCTTTGATTTATTGGGGCTCTGTCAGCACTCATGCAGGGACATTGTAAAAAGGAGCACATCAATTTGCATAGAAATCCTCCCTTGGATTTGGATGAGAGTAGGCCAGGCTTCAAATCTGTTTGGCTGTAAGTGGATCAACCACCATCATGAAGAATTAAAAACCTGTGGAAGCAGACTCTGATTCATGGAGTAGATTCACAATAACACCGCTTGTGTACAAATTGTAGATTGTAAAGCAATACACTGAATGGCAACATGTTTTACCATTGTGCTAATAAAAAGAAGAAATATTTGGCTAAATGTTACTATAAAAATGACTCAG